TCAGTCTTCTCTTCGTTAAGCTAAACAGACCTAGTTCTTTGAGTCGTTCCTCATAGGATTTAGCCTCCAGTCCCCTTATCATCTTTGTTGCTTTGTTGCAGCTAGAAGGGTGGATTGGGCCCCAATGCCTAAGATCCCCACCTCCTGAATCCCATGCTGTGACACCTGTTTGGGAATCATGGGGAAAAAGGAACTGCATTGCTTGGAGTTTTGAATGAATACAGTGTGGGTACAAAAGCAACGCATGTGAAATGTTCTCACTCCGATCCCCAGTTTCCTGCACTCCATCATATACGAGAACACAAGGGGGATCATGGTGGATCAGACCACAGACTTATCTGTGCATTCTGTGCCCGTTGGAGCTAACGGATGGCCTCTGGCAGCCCGTCAGCAAGATCTATAATTGCAATCCTTGCAGATGGGTGGAAGCAAAGTGTCAAGGGAATTCAGCATCAGGCTGACCACTATTTGTTTCCCATTTTTATTTGTTTTTTTTCTTCCATTTATAGCCTCTTTCTTCCAGTAAGCTGAAGATAGCCTAAGCACCTCTCTTCTTCCCCAATTTATCCTCACAGAAGTCTTTCAAATGAGATCAAGCTGCGAGCCTGTGAGTAGTGCAAGGTCACCCCCTGAGCTTCATGGCTACGTGGGGGAACTTGGGAGGCAGGTTTCATAGGAGTCCTAGTCTCAGCAGCTACGCAGACAAATAACGCGGGAAATGGATTGGGATAGGCTGATCCGCATGACGTTAAAAACCAATGCAAATCAGCCCAGATTTCTTCCCCACAAATCTGTAGTTTTTAACTTAAACCCAGGGCTTCTATTCTCTTGGGATCAAATGCATTTTTATCAGTTTGGATGGTGTGACTGTTTGAGCTGATGTGGAGGGGTTTGTAGCTGTTCTATATGAAGTCATTCCAGGTGGCTACAGCTTTAGTGAGTGGGGCAGGGCATTGTAGAAACTGGCTGCTCTTTGAATCTTCTCCCCACACCTGATGTCTGAGTCTCCTTCCTTCCTTCCTTCCTTCCTTCCTTCCTTCCAGCAATAGATAAGAGAGCTCCATCCATCCATCCATCCATCCATCCATCCATCCATCCATCCATCCTCAGCTTAGCTTGCTAATCTAGTAATAAGGCAGCTAAGTGACCAAAGAGGAAAAAAGAGGGAGGACTCAGAAGAAAGAGAGGAGAAAGTTTTAAGGTAGCTCTGATCTAACTGTGTCCAAATCTGGACCATCCATCCATCCATCCATCCATCAGCTTGCTAATCTAGTAATAAGGCAGCTAAGTGACCAAAGAGGAAAAAAGAGGGAGGACTCAGAAGAAAGAGAGGAGAAAGTTTTAAGGTAGCTCTGATCTAACTGTGCCTCCTGCAAATCTGGATGGTCAGAGAAAAACTACCTTTAAAAGGTCCTCCTCTTTCTCTTTTTTTCTTTAACAAGCTGAAAACAAGGCTGAAGTACAAACATCCTGTCCCTCTGCTAATTTCTCTCACACACACACCCTGTTTGGTCAACTAGCTGAAAGAAGGAAGGAAGGAAACAAGCAGATCCAGATGTGGAAGGGAGAGGATGAAACCAGTTAACAAGCTGCAAACAAGACTGGTTTCCTCCTCTCTCTGCTAACCCCTGTGTGGTTGAAGCAAATTACCCCAAGGAAACCTGACTTACCAATTGCAGCTTCACAGTGGATGTATTTGCATTTCTCCCACAGTGTAGACATACCCTCAGTCTCTAACCACTGAAGTACTCTGAATGTACTGTCTACCTGTACTGTAAGGATCTTGCGGGGGGGGGGGACAAAGACATTTGCTTCAAATTCAGAGTGAGAGAGACTAGAGTCAGTCACAGAACTGACCTTCAGACCAATGTTGACGCTGTCAGCATCCAGGATGTTGAAGACCCGTGCGGTCAAGCCATCTCCCATGTCCCTGGCCAGCCAGCATTTGCAGACGAAGGTATACATGATCCCTTTAGTGGGCACAGTGATGCTGATTTCATCCAAGAGCCAAGAGCTTTCTGGTGTGGCCCCATCATGACCCACCTAGG